GCCTGCTGACGAATAAGCCGCGTCTAATGCGGGGCGTTAGGAATACGGCCATTAGCATGGGCAGCGTTAGAGCACCAGTAGGCTATCGCGCTTTGTAAGATGACATAAATACTTAAATTCAATTTCGCTAAACTGCGCGAAAATTTAGTAATGTTCCATCGTTTGAGGAAATTTATTTTCTTGGACTTAAATTGAAATATGTTGACTGTCTGGCTCTTAATTTCCGAAGATCACTTTTAATGTATCAAGATTCAGAACTATAATTTACTTTAATATAAGTGTCATCTTATCGTTTATTGTGGTTTTTATAAAGCGCAGAACAGCTACAAAATCGGACGGCCATCCTGTTTTCACCAAGCTTCTTTTGGAGCTTAATATGGGTAGTCTAGTTCTATACGGTGTGACCTTAATACATTTTTAAAGGGCCGAAAGTATCAAGACAGCAAGCTTGCAGAAATAACTACGTACGTTTAAATGGACGAGTGATAGATGTGTTAGGGGCTGTTTAATGAACACAAACTTATATAATCAAACTAAACGTCGCAAAAGCGTCAAAAAGGCAGTGCTTGTTTTTTTTTTCTATAAAATTAGCCTAACGGTACCGCTTCATGACGTCACGTGCGAGCGTTAACTCGGTGACGATGTACTAAGTGGGGAAATGAAAAAGGTAGGGTTCAAGAAATGCGACTCGGCAAGCTTTTTACATTTCTTGACCCTTTTTAATAGTTCTTTCTTCCCCACTGAGAAAATGGATCACCAATGAATGACGCGTCATACTTCTACAGCTGGTCTTTCTCCCACAACCATCCCGTTTTCACGAAAAAAAAAATCTGACCCGTCTCCAAAATCACATCGCTGAGTTCTACTCAACCTCTCCCCACCACAAATCACAATTTCTATCTGAAACAATATGTTCATATGTTTGCTCTGTAATAATGCACGCTGTCATTACTATCTTAAAAGCGACGTCATTTATGAGCGATCTAATATTGATTTGCTTACTGCAAATAAAGTGTTCAAAAGTTCGACCTCCCAACAATTGTTGTGGTCTTGGATGCACACTATTAAGTCTGATAAGGTCTATTAGTCATTCATGTCAACTATATTTTTTAAAAAAAAAGAAAAATTACTATACAGGGGGTCATATTGTCACGCTTTTTCTGATGATTTTTACCCCCCCCCCCCCCTCCCCTCCGTCACACGTCGTCACAAAAAGGCTAAAATTACGTCACATCTCAGCCTTCAACCCCCCCCCCCCCCCTCAAAATTGCAGTTGAATTTTTTTTAAACAGCTATATTTTTCCAAAATCTTGTCTGAACTTTGTCAAAATAGAGTATTTTAATCAATTGTTATTACAATGTATTAAAACAGTTCTTTAAAACGCAAAATAACGTCTAAAATTCGTTTTTTAACATTGCTTTTTTAAAATGCAAAAGTGTGACGTCGCACCATCTGAACCCCTCCCCCTCATCACACAATGTCACAAAATTACGGACCCCCCTCCCCAGTGGCGTAGCGAGGTCGGGTGTCACCCCCCCAGAGGCATAGTGACCCTTCCCAGGGACAAACTTTCAAATTTTCGATTTGCACCCCCCCTCAAACTTTTGATTTGCACCCCCCCCCCTATATATTTTGCTATTATTTGCCTTGGTGTCACCCCCCTAAATGGTGTCACCCGGTGCGGTCCGCACCCCCCGCCCCCCTCTCGCTACGCCCCTGCCCCTCCCCCCTACGAGTGTGACGTCATTTATGGACGACCCCCGGCATATATTAAAACAATACAAAACAATCATATTAAACCACAAAATCAACACAAAAGACATGCGAATAGACAATTCATTGTTTTTAAAACATGGCCGCTGCTTGTATTTACTCATTGTTGTCTCGAATGGGGTAGTTTAAAGTTTATTCCAGGATATTTATGACTGGTTTGGTCTTGGATTGTGATTTGTTATTCAATGGACACCAGCGAGAAAAGTCTCAAAGGTATTTGAGAGGTGTATAAATTCATTAAAAAATCATGCACAGCGTAGTTACAATTAATATGGTTATAAAATCCTGCCTGTCTGGTTTTTTTCGGACTTTACTAAAGATTGGATGTATTTGATGTTTATAATATTTTCGGTAACTAAATAAAAATTAAAAAAAAAGCAAAAACAATTTGGTTTTCACGTGTAATGGCGACATAAACATGGCATCCTGCTATTGGATAGGCTGCCATAGATTTTATTGTACACATTGTAAGCTAAAAATAGAAAACTAGGTCATGGGGTTTTAAATTTGCATGTTATTTAAAAACTTGATCTGCAAAGTTTTGTAAACAAATAGTTATCGATCACTAAGTTACTGTACAGCCAATCAATATTTGTCTTACGAAAGTGAAACATCCGGTTATAACTTAGGCTTGATGAAAATAAATAGAAATGTAGCCTTAAACACAACAAATTATTTTCAAGTTCTCTGGATTTGCAACTTTTATAGCATTTATTCTAAGAATATAAAATTTCTAAATTAATTTTAGGCTTAAGTTTTTATTTTTTATTTTTTTTTACGGTCTAAATCTAAAAAAACACGTTTTTATTCCATGACAACAACATTATGGAAGGAATCTCGTCAACTCGCTCGCCTCCATTATCTGTTATGTTATGAAAAATATGACATAAATATGGCCAAATGAAAGAAATATTCATTAGTTACCTTCATCGCACATTACTAGCTACGTTGGAATTTACGACGCTAAACTAAGATTTTACCGGTACTCAGGTAGTAAATTAATTTGGTAATCTATCGTTTTAGGTACGTAAAATCGCCCGCGAGTTGTAATGTGAAAAACAAGTGACTCCTTAAATTTTAATAATTATTTCACATTTTGAGGAGGATTTATGTTTTTTAAAATACAAGAATGTTTCCTTGTTTCATTTATGTATTTGTTTTTAAACAATTGAATTAAAACTTTTCAGTAATAAATGAAGACTAGCTGTGTTTCCAACAGATGCAACCATGGTCATTTACTATAGCAGCCATCTTGTTTAAGTTTTATTTTTATAAAGTTATAGCGCGAGATTCAGAGGGAAGTCACTCTATTTTACAAATGGCTGCTGTTTATATACTATATATAGTAAATCTTGCTCGCAGACACTTCTGTTTAAAGTTAATTTCTGGCCTATATTGATATATTAAGCCATTGACTTAGGTTTATTATCCATTTATCTATCACAAAATACTTCTATTAAAGCCTTGACAATGAGGTAACGTTTTCGTACATTAATAGCCGCGGGCAATTTTACGTACCCAAAACGATAGATTACCGTAAATTTATACTAGTTAGGGTAATCTAACATTTACCTATAGGCCTAATATTTGACACAAATATATCACAATATACTTCTATTAAAGCCTTGACAATGAGGTAACTTTTTCGAACATTATTAGCTGCGGGCGATTTTACATACCTAAAACGATAGATTACCGTAAATTACTAAGGTAATCTATCATTTTAGGTACGTAAACTCGCCTGGGACTAGTAATGTGAAAAACAGGTGACGCCTCAAATTTTAATAATTATTTCACATTTTGAGGAGGATTTATGTTTTGAAAAATACAAAAATATTTCCTTGTTTCATTTAGGCCTATATAGGCTACCTGTTTTTAAACAATTGAATTAAAACTTTTCAGTAATAAATGAAGACTAGCGATGTTTCTAACATTTACTATAGCAGCCATCTTGTTTAAGTTTTTTTCGTAAACTAGCAAATCCTGCTCGCAAACACTGCTGCTTAAAGTTAATTTTTTGCCTATAGGCCTATTGATATATTTAGCCACTGATTTAGGTTTATTATTCATTTACCTATAGGCCTAATATTTGACACAAATATATCACAATATACTTCTATCAAAGCCTTGACAATGAGGTAACTTTTTTGTACATTACTAGCCGTGGGCAATTTTACGTACCTAAAACGATGGATTACCATTACTAAAACGGTACGGGTAGGCCTCTAATCTATTTTTTTAATTTTAGATAGATCTAGAATAGTTAGGTAAAAACTGCCGAGGCTAGTAATGTGAAAAAAGGGTGACTCATTAAATTGTAGTAATTATTTCATATTTTTAGGACACTTGATATTTTGCAAGTTACAAAAATGTTTCAAGTTTCACTCATTTACTTAAGTCATTTAGATCTACCTGTTTTTAAACAATTTTATTAAAGCTTTTCAGTAGGCTTAATAAATAATAGTTAGCGATGTTTTCATCAAATGCAACCAAGCTCAGGTAAAATCACGATATAGTGTCAATTATTATTCTGGAATTGTACAGCAGTAAAAAAATAGTAAAACCATGGTGTAGTCAGTCGAGCCATTCCAGAAACCCTTGGAAATACTGTAAACCATCATTTATTTTCCGCCATATTATTTTTAATACATAAAGTTTAAAAATGTGCATGGATTGATTTTTGTTGCATTTTAAATACTGTTTTGCTAATTATTTTGTATTTCAAATTAATTCTTTTAAGTGTAGTGTATGTGCTAATTATTGCTGCTACTAAACATTCGTTCTAATTCTTCTTACTACTTTTAACTTTAGTAAATCTAATTGTCCTATTTTACTACATCTAGATCTAGTTGTCGCAAATCTTTTGCAAGTTTTTTTGTCTGTGCTTCTTAAAAAAAAAACATTAATTACTACATTTGAATTTATTATTAATATTAAGATTTACTAATTTTTGTTATTTTTCTGTCAATTAAACTTTAAATTAAGTTAAACTATTAATTTAATGCACTTGACTTTATTTTATTTCAACAGTCAAATAAGTTATGGTAACGAATGTTACCGAAACTCAACAAACATTGCCAGATAAATTCCGATGCTATATCGTGAGATTACCTAAGCTCAATTACTTTTGTCTTTAGGCTAGCAGCCATCTTAAGTTGTTGTTTTTTTGTAAAATTATAGTTGGAGATTCAGGGGAAACCACTCTAATTTACAATGGCCGATGTTT